CACAAGTTCCCATGTGATGCTAAGGCTCTTGGTCCAGAGAACCACATTTTGAAAATCACTGATATAAATCGGTGAACTGTCAAGACTACTAAAACCTAACTTAATTTATTTGGAATAATTTAACTTATGCTTTGAAGATTTTTGTTTTACATAACAGAGTTCTTGAATTACTTTATTTTACCAGGTTTTAGGACATACAGAAATGTCACATAGAAGATGACCAGTATTTACGAATCCATGATTTTAGTATAATATAGTTAGTAAAATACTCGATTATATTTCACATTAGTATTTCTCTCTTATATTTGTATCATGTGTTTCTAGTGTGATACTGTGTCTTAATTTAGGCTCTTACCTATTGCATAAACCTCCTGAGTATCTTGCCAAATACATCTTTCTTCTCCCCTCCTCCTCCCCTCCCCATTTTTCTATTCTGTTTTAATTCTCTTCTACTTTGGAAAGGAACAACTGGTGGTAGCTGATATACAGAAAAGCATTTCAAAAAGAAGCAGCAACACTGCAGACATTCAATGTGAAGTGACAGGAATGCTGTATTTTAATAATTTGAAAAAAAGTTAATTTGGGTAGTATTTAGAATAAGAAGAAAGCAGTGAAAGATTAGTTTTGAGCAGTATATGAGATCATGAAGTCCCTTTCATTCTGTGTTAATATATTTATGAATTTATTTGTGTAATAGCATTAGACTTTTACGTTTTAGATACATCATCGCTTCAGTTACAGTATAGCTAGTTACTAATACAGTTGGAAAATGGTTGGAATAATGAAGTTACTAGGAAAATTAATGATTGCCTGGAGGGTATGAAGAGAAGTGAATGAAAAGTAAAATCAGTAGAACTTGTTGATATGGTTGAGGTAGAGGGAGTTCATAATGGAATAGAATTAACGCATTTGTTTATTCTAGTAGCATTTTAAAATAACATAGCTGGGTGTGATGGCACATGTCTGTAATCCCAGCACTCGAGTGGCTTAGGCAGGAGGATCATTGCAAGTTCTAGACCAGCCTGGGCTACAGAGTGAGCTCAAGGCCAGCCTGAACTGCAAAGCGAGACCCGGTCTCAAAAAGACAAAACAAAAACAAACAAACAAAAAAATCCATAGGCTTTCTACACAGATGATTACATATAAAAATGGTAAATCTATATTGTATTCCTTAGATAAACCCCAAGAATGCTTGTAATCTTGCCTAGTATATTGGAAACTTGCTAAATAAACATTACTTTGCAACGGCACACAGAAACACCAAAATGACACCCAGGATTTGGAGGCAGATTTATTTTATACCGATGGCACTGATTGGGATCATTCCCAATATATCAGATCTAAAGTCTCAGGGCTGGAAGTTTTTATGGGGTCTGCAAGGGGAAGTACAAAGGCAGAGTACTTGGTTCTTACAATATATGCCACAGTGACCAGCTGTTTCTAAGAGACAAAAGGAACTGGAACTGGAACTGTTACCTGGGCAACTAGCAAACTGAAGTATACTGACTGGGGGGACATTTTCTGCTACATTTTTGATAGATTTCTTAGAATACTCTATGTAAATAATCACACACATACAAATAGGGACATCCACTTTGATATGTTTATCAAAAAACATATAAGTTGACAGATGTTTCTCTAGTATGAAATCCTATGAAATTTAATGGAGAAACAGCTTCCTTTTACCAGTAAATAAGAAAAACTCTTCATCATCCTGTTTGAAGAAGCTATCCTGCTTCTGGTTCCTTCACTCAAAATTTTTTATTTATTTTTACCCATATATCTTTCATTGTTTCATGGATTGCTTCAAAGACAAGCTTACATAATGATCTTAAAATCCTGTATTTAGTTTATTTAAAATTAAATAAGCATCCTATTTGAAAAAGCAAACATAAATGCTTTTGTAGCAAGATGGCAACTGCACATGCTAACATTGATGATTTACAGTGTACTATGTATCTTATTATTCAATTTAAGCCTATTAACATTGTGGGTCAAATATTAGCCTCATTTTATAGATGAGACAATTGTGATACTGAGAAATGAAGTAAATTGCCTGAGATCATGAAGCTACTAAATAATAGAGTGGTTTTAGAAGTGTTCTATATTCAGCAGTGAGCAGGGAGGGAATTTACTGAGACTGACAGAAATATTCAGGAGGAGGTATTCTCATACAGAAGTAGCTAGTTGGTCAACTAAGTCCCAATCCATTGGGCTTGTGAAAAGCACTTACCAGTGTGTACCACTAAGTGTGAATGCTTGGATTGGTGAGGTTATCCTGTGATCCCAGTTAACTGGGAACACTCAGTGGAAAGTAATCAGCAAAATAGACATCAATATTTGAGGAAATTCAGCAGTCTAACTCAGTAAAGCAAGTGTTTTGTGTGGGAGGAAATAAGAGAACAGATCTGTAAGGATGGAAAAGTATTGCCCATCTTGGAATTAATAATGAAATGAAGTGAATTTTACGTGAATGTTATAATTGAAAAACAACCTAATGTGGATTTATTTTATCTAATTATGATTATCTTTTTATATACTTAAATGCTATTTTTATTTCCTTGACTACAAACTATCTTTATCCATTGCCTGTTTTTTTTTAAGTGTTGGTCTTTTTCTTATTAATGTACAGGGTTTCCTTATATATTAATTTTTCTCCAATTTTTCTTTTGACTTAATGATACATTTTTACTACCAAAGCCACTGTTAGTGTCCAGTAGTGCTTGTTATAGCATTGCTCTATCTTCGTGATTTAAACTAATAACCTCAGTCCTATTCTCACTGATATAATCATTGAGGTCTAAGTTTGTGGTGTCTATTATACTCCTCTATGCTGTGTTAGCACATCTATTTATGTATGTAAATATATTTGTTTTTCTTATGTCAGAATATTTTGAGGGAGAACTGAATGAGGCAGTCAGGTTTTGGATATATTAATTGATCTCAAAATTTGAAGTAAATGTAGTTTATGACTTTCCATTATGTTAGGATATTTTCAAGGGAAACTGAATGAGGAAGTCAGAGTTTGGATAGAGTATTGATCTCAATTTTGATTTTAGACAACATTAAAGTAAATGTAATTTATAATTTTCCCTAGGAAATATGAAGAAAAATCATTGGATTAATAGATTGGTGGAAAGATAGGTAAATGGAGGGATAGATATGGTAAGCAAATGCTTACATAAGGCTGAAAAACAGCTATTTATTAGCAAGGGAATGGATACTACCTTCAACTGTTGAGTGATTTGGTGTCTAGATAGTTTTTGAATAAATATTTTTATACATATTACATGCCAAGTCTTGTACTAGGTGGTGTACTCTTTGTTGACTGAAACAGATTTTGACCCTGACCTCATGGAGCTTATAATCTAATGAAAGATACAGGCAATAAAAAGGAAAAACAAACAATGTAATTGTGTAAGTGTTATGAAGGAGTTTAATGTTCCTTGTTTGTTTATGGAAAAAGCTGAGTAACTGGGAGCTGCATGACATCCATTCAGTAGAGTGGTACGTGAAAGCCTTTTAGAGGAGGTGGTGGGATTTACAATAATGAAGAGGAAGGTGTCAGCTATGGGAAAACTAGAGAAGAATACTGTATATGAAAAGGAAGCTTGAAATTAGGGTATCTAAGATGGCATCTTTGAGAAAGAGAAAGGAGCCCACATGGGTGGACCTAGTAATTTGAGATGAGAAGGTAAAAGACCATTCAAGGTGTTGTAATCTTGCACTGAGAAATTATGAAGAGATGTTAAGCAAAGGAGCAATATAATCAAGTTTATGTTTTAAAAGACTACTCAGTTGAGGATGAAGAAAGAAAGAAAAAAGAAACAGAGAAATTAAGAGAGAATGGTCAGTGCCTAGACCACAAACAAGATAGCAAAGTAGATTGAGAAGAATTCGTAAATTCTAGGAATAGTTTGAAAATACAATCAACTGGATTTAGTGTGTCACATGTTATAGATAATGGAAAAATTCATGGATTATTTCCACCTGTTTCTTACTAAAATCTAATGGGACTGGGGGTGTAGCTGCATGACAGAGGGTTTGCCTAGCATGAAAGAACGTTCAACTCCCAGAACCACACAGATAAATAAATAGATTTAAAATGTTTATGTGCTTTTCATGGAATCAAATATGGCTAGTAGGAGTTAGGTTTATAAACAGTGATATATAATTTATATATGTAGTTCTTTTGAAAATACTACCATGTTTAGTACCTCATTTTTGGGTTCTTTAATTTTTTTTTAACTGAAACATGTTGGCAGTTGAAATGTTTTGTGAATTCAGTTATAATTTTCCAGAAATAGAGCTTCACTGGCATTCACAAATATTGAGACTGCTTAAAACCATACACGAAAAGCAGTCATTCCTCAAACTAAACATATCTCTTAGGAAATTGTTGAGTTTTAAGTTTTTTAAAAAATTTTAAGTAATATCGTCAAAATTATAAAATTTATTTTATGGAATAAAATTTTAAGTTCTGTAGTTGACATTTTCTCTTAAATGAATATAAAGCCCAATGTTTTATCTTATGAAAGGTAAAAAGAAGTTTTTAAACTTAGCAAATAAAATAGTTAAATTTATAGATATCGGGGCTAGGGATTTAGCTCAGCGGCACAGTGCCTGCCTGGCAAGCACAAGGTTGTGAGTTTGATTCCTGGTACCGGAAACCACCCCCCCAAAAAAACCTAAATTTATAGATATCTTCAGACTGTTAGTTACAAAAATGTTTATTTTTGAAATAGAAATTATTGCTTATTGTATAGTTTGATGAGAAATTCAAATCAAAACCTTACAACTACCCCAAATACATTTCAATAATCTCTAGCATAATTTTGTTATTTGATATGAATATTATCTATAATCTAATGATTATTTTCCCACTTAGAAGTTTTAAAACATGCAGTTTTTAATGTTAATCTTCAAGTGGAACATACTTGTAAGAACTGAAATATTAGTTTCTCAAGGAAAAAATGAAATCAATCTTCTTTATTTTTCAGAGGTGGCTGGATCCAAACAAACCAATAAGGAAGCAGTTGAAGAGTGAGTATACACATTTACTTGATGTTTTAGAAGTATATGTTATAAAGACAAAGGATTAATATAATCTAATTAATTAGAATTGCTTTTATTATTTCTAGGAGGATCTCCTCACAGTTTGAACTTTAGAGTCAAATTTTTTGTAAGTGACCCCAACAAGTTACAAGAAGAATATACAAGGTGGGTTTATCGAGCATATGTCTTTTGAAAATTCTGTCAGAACTCTAATACGCAATTTGAAAATTAACTAGACAAAAATAGATTATCATGTTGTAATTCTGAGCTTCCCAGCCAGGACACAGAATAATTTGTGAATGTTTCTTCTCCTTTTGGATAAGTAAGAGGGCTTTTATTATTAGAACCTCAGGACTACCCCATCAAGCCACAAATAGCCTCCCAAGCCATACAAATTAGTAATTTGTCTACTTGTGAACAATGGTTAAGAAATGCTCCTATAATTAAACAAAATAATGAAATGACACTGAAGTTATGTCCAAGGGGTAATCCGTAGTATGAGAATTTTCAAAGTTTTTTTCTCCATGTAAAAGCACTTCTATCTGTATATTTTTTTTTCATTGAGGGAAACAATTTATAGAATATGTAACCATCATATGCAGGAATAATGGTCAGTAGGTACCTCTTTCTGCTATATGTTCTTAATTTTTTCTTTCTAAGAAAATATAATGGACTTTATGAAGAAAGTTATGAGTGGTACCCTACCACACCCAGGACTGTGCAGGCCACCTTACTGCCTGTTTAAGGTTTAAGCTCATGTATTAATTGTGACTTCTTATTGAAAATACACAGAAATGGTCCTAATGAGAATCTGATACTGTTCTTGAATTTTAAGTGAAATGGTCAGAGTTAGAAATGAGTACTAACAGTGTGATGAATGTCACTATTAAAATAACACAAATGATAACCTTGTGCATTATTTGAATGGCAGAATTAGTAATCAGTTAAACAAAAGACAGATTAAAGAATTAGTATGTTATACCTTCTGAAATTCTTAAATATAAGGATATAGGTCAGTGACCACATTCTGGTTTTGGGGGATCTGGAATTTAAAAAAGAATCTCTGGGCTCCAAGGTTCTAATCCCTAAAAGCCCTCTTACTGGTCCAAAAAGCAGGAGGAAACTAATTTAGATCAACATCAAAACATAATCAGGAAATAAAGTAGTCCTTCTTCAGGGGGGGACATAAACTAATTTTGGAATTACTCCAAAACATAGATGTCATACTTAAAAATTCATGTCTATAGCTTCCTATAGACAAATTAAATTGTATTTATTTTTTATTTTAAAAGTAATTTTTAAGAAAACAACAGCAAAATGCCAGCAACATAGGCAAAAAACAAAACAAAGCAAAAACAATAAGAATAATACAGGGTTTCAGAACAAAATGATAGGGATTAACAGTGGTTGTTATATTAATATTTTTATTTTCATCGAAGTTGGTCAGATTACCAGATGTAAAAATGCAAGATTGATCAAACCATTAAAGAGAATAAAAAATAAAAGCAAAAAAATTACAAACAATACAGAGTTTCAGCAAACAAGATGATAGGGTTTCAACAATGGTTGTTATATTGCATATTGTTGTCCTCAAATTAATTGTTGAGATTACCAGATATAAGCATGCAAAATCGGTCAAAAAAAACAAAGCATTAACTGTTCTTTTCAATAAACCATTAGACATCAGCAGTACAGTTGTGCCAGCTCTCCTTCTGTACACATACATGTATTTTCCCTTCTTTCTTTGTTTCTTTTTCTCCTTTCCCTCATCCCAGTTGATTCTTCTTTTGAGCAATTTTTTTCCCTTTCTTAATATCTGTACGTTCTGGGTTTTATTTACTCTTTCATGTTCTTACACTAGAGAGGTAATACAGTGTTTACACATGTGGGTCCAATTTATTTCACTTATGAATATGGTCTCTATTTGTATCCATTTACCTATAAAAAGCCTCCAGTTTATCTTTTTTTTATAGCTGAGTAATACTTCATTGTCTAAAACTACCACATATTTTTTATCCATTCCTCCATTGATGGGCATTTGGGTTGTTTCCAAGATTTAGCTATGACAATTGTGCTGCTATTAACATGGGTGAACGTATACCAGTGTAAATTACTAAGTTTTAGAATATTGGGTATTGTTTAGAATACTGTGCTGGAGTACAGGAGAAAAAAAGCTAAATTAAGGATATTCAGCCTAAGGTACTAATTCTCAAGAATCTGTAGAATCTTCTAATACTAAACCAAGTTGGAAAAATTAGACTAAAATTTATGAGAGTCCTTTTCTTTGTGTTTGTTGAAGAAGGCTGAGGGGTTTGTTTTGTTTTGTTTTGTTTGTTTAGATAGGAAAAGTCAGCCATATAGGTTCAAGAAAAGGCAGCCCTAACATTTGCAACCAGCAGTAGAATTCAAGCTAATTTTCCTTAAGAAACAAAATTGTATTATGTAAATATCCTTTAAATAGCATTTTTGGCCTTAATCACATTTTGTTGTTATTAAATAATGAAAATAACAAGATCTTTTATTGTAATAAGTAATACTTGGTAGAGTAAAACTTCCCTCTAATTTTACATGAACTCCAAAGTAACTACTCTGAATTAATGAATATTCTGAATTATAAGGCAGTGTTAAGTGTATTTTATTATGTTCAGGTACATATAATAACTTGAAATCAAATAAAATGTTCCAGAGCATATGTTCTATATAATTAGACTTTTAAGTATATAAAATAGTTGTAAAATAATTTAAAATTGTATTTCTGGGCTGGGGATTTAGCTCAGCGGCAAAGCGCCTGCCTGGCAAGCACAAGGTCGTGAGTTCGGTTCCTGGTACCGGAGAAAAACCAAAAAAAAAAAACAAAACAAAATAAAATTGTATTTCTAACATATTTAATATTTATGGTAACTTTGTTTATGTAAGCAAGTTGTTTGTATAAGTTTAATTACAAACAGGTTCATAATTTACTTCACTCAGAAAACCAAATTTCTAAATGGAACTTGAATGTGTTGTTTCATTTATAACCTGTTCTAAAAACATAACCAGGGAATAAACGTGTTTCACTGATAATTAAGTCAAAATAACTTTTTTTTTTTTGAGACAGGGTCTCACGATATAATTCAGTCTAGGTTTGAACTCATTATGTTGCCCAGGCTGGCCTTGAGCTCACAATGATCCTACTGCTTTAGCATCCCAAGTACTGGGGCTATAGGCATGTGCCACCATGCCGGCCCTCAAAATAACATCTTGAAGTTAAAGAAATTGAAACTAAGGTTGACAGTTACTGAAAATTGTGCTCAATTCTTCAGTCAAGGTTAGTGATGGTGAACTTTTTAGAGCTTTCAGTGATAACAAACAGCCCACTGCAGCACATGTGCCAAAAGTTCACCACCACTGGTCTAGGTTATCTTTGTTTTCACCAGACATAATGTTTTATTTCAAAACCCTAAGCTGGGTATAGTGGCACACACCTGTAATCCAGGTAATTCTGTAGACTGAGGCAGGAGAATCACGGATTTGAGGCCAACCTGTACAATTTAGGGTCTAAAAATTACTTCTAAAAAAGTAAGACTGGGAAGTAGTAACTCAGTGATAAGAGTCTGACCTCATATGTGAGCTCCTGGTTTCAATTCTTAGTACCACAATACAAACAAAACCACTGTACTATAGAATTTTACAACTGGTATATTTGGTAAAATGTGTTACATGGCTAGTTTTTAGTTAATTACTGTGATGTACATCAGTGCTTTTAAATACAAATTAGAATAAGATGAGAGCACTTTAAACCATACTAATTGGCCACACCCTAGACATTCTGAATTAGTAAGTTTTAGAGGTGATCTAAGCATAAATGTGCATAAACTCCTCAGGGGATTCTCATATAGCCAGGATTGAGAAATACTCTTTTAAAACTTTAGTGTTTGGGTAGTTTTAATGTGGTAATCATAATTAGTAACAGGGATACCCTTGGCCACAACTGCTAAATTTCAGGACTTATTTAGATCCCCCCAGGCCTGAAATCTGTGATAACTTTTTATGTTGATGTACCACTTTGAATTAGTGTGAGAGAAAAGAATGGTGTCAAAGAGCTTCCATCAGTTTAAATGTTATTCATTATTAAATGTTACTCATTATTGGCAAAAGCTGCCATCATTAAAAAGATACATATACTAGACAAGTGATCCTAGGTCTTCTTATAAATATGGAAGGAAATTTCAGTAAATTTTTAAGTAATTTGCCTCAGATTATAAGATGATAGCCTAGGACTTGAATTCTGGTTTCTACTGCAATAATCCTGTGTGATTAAATGAGTATGTAAGTAAAATTCAACAAGTATTGATACTACTTTTGTAGGACTTAAAATCTCATATCAAAGATTGTCTTACTTTCCTTCTCAGTAGGACATAGTACCTGACACCTACAACTCAAAGGAGGAGAGGTTTATTTTGGCTCACAGTTTGTAACAGTTTTAGTCCATAGTGGGCTGCATCCAAGGCAGGTCAACGTGGCAGAGGGGTATGGTGAAAAAGTGGCTCATGGCGTGGAGGCAGGAAGCAGAAAAAAAAGAACGGAAGATGAAGGAGGGAGATATAACCGTCTAGGCCATGCCCGCAGTAATCCACCTCTTCCTTCTTTGCCTTCCCCCCATCACAGTTAGCTATAAACTCCTCATTGGGCTAATGCATTGGTGAGTATCATGCCCTCAAGGTCCACTCACCTCCCAAAGCCCCACCTGTGATCACATGAGACTTTCAGGGGACATCTAGATACAAACCATAATGAGGTTGTACATACCCTTAAATTCAGTCTATAAGATTGTTCTCATACTTGGCAACTTTATTTTTTTATTTTTTTGGTGGTGGTGCTGGAGATTGAACCCAAGACCAGACTCATGCAAGACCAGACTCTTGCACATGCTGAGCATGCACTTTACCCTTAGCTTCTTCCTAGCCCATCCCAAACTTTTATGATGCCAGCTAGATCTAACAGAAATATACAGTACTGAATTAAGTAGAAAATATTTATAATATCATGCTTTAAGCCTTGCAGGGAGTTTATCTGCTTTATTCATATATAAAGCCAGGGTGTGTGTGTGTGTGTGTGTGTGTGTGTGTGTGTGTGTGTGTGTGTGTGTGTGTGTGTGTGTAAAGTGAATATCTGATTATCTGAGAACCTTAATTATATTCTTTGGTAATTTGAATGTTGTCATGGAGCTAATTAATGATAGGACTTTTAAATGAGCTTTGACTTTTGGGATTTGTACTTTATTTTTAGTTGAATAAACAAAAGTCTTAAAATTCCTTTTAAAAACATTTAACAACAAAAATTTGTTCTTCTGCCAACATTATACAGTTGCCAGTGACTTTGCCCAGGTTTGATAATGAGTGGTTCTTACTCAGTAGCAAGAACAGAAAGACAGTGCCATTTCTTAGCAACCTCAGCAGCCTTGTTAGAGTATACTTACATATCCTTTAACAAAAGTCGATTTTAAAAGATACCTAATTTTCTAAAGTTAGATGATTTCCTACTAATAGAGCAATAATAGGAAAAAGAACTTAAGTTATTTTTCTGATCAGAGCGCCTTCTTAACTCAAATGAGTGGGCAGTTGCTTTTCTACGACAGCCTGATGATAAAATGATCTAAACATAGGCCTGTCCTTGCATCTGGCCTCCTCTTTCAGCTAAAAGGATGATTCTCTTTGTTTTCTCATGTGTTGATATCAGCGTTCCCATGTGTTTGATGCTCAACTTTCCTTCTTTATCAGTTCTTCTTTCTGCACATACCAATCCTCAGAATATTTTTCCTTAGTCTTCTCCCTTTATGATGTAACTTTAAAACCTTGAGAAGTTTTATAATAGAAGGAAGACATTTGCAATATAAAATTTAATATGTCAAGAGAATTTTAAAGATTTATATTCATGAACTTATGAAAAGTGATTTTAAAGTACATACTAATGAAAACATATGCTAACATTACGTGTTACTGTGTAGATTGTTAAAGCAAATGTTTAAATACTTGTATTTTGTTTGTCAAAGTAAGTGTATAGTTTCTTGGAATTGAAATTGTTACAATTCAGTAAATGCTATCTTTTTTTTTTTCTTAAGGTACCAGTATTTTTTGCAAATAAAACAAGACATTCTTACTGGAAGGTGGGCTATTTTACATTTTTGTAATAGACTTTAAAAAAAACCTCTTAATTCTACATTATTGAAGTGATTCATGATCATTACAAATTATCAAAGAATGATTATATGTAGTATCAGTTTTGTTCATCAGATAAATTCATTTCTTATGGCACATACTTTACATGTGAATAGTAACTATAGCACTTTTAAAATTATTAATGTTTAACCTTGGGTTATATATTTTTTGTTTTATTAGATTGCCCTGTCCTTATAATACTGCTGCCCTTTTAGCTTCATTTGCTGTTCAGTGTAAGTATCAGCCCACATTTAGGTCAAATAGCCCATGATTTTGTGTTCTTTGTTGACAGTGTATTGCCTTTAATGCAGGAGTTCTTTAAGACATGTTACTGTACAGAAAATAGAAATTTTCAGAGGAAACGCATTATCTAATTAGCAGTTACTCTGATTCTTGAAAAATATTCTCTGAAGTTCTTTGAGTCATAGAAGTGAATTATTATAACTTCCTTTAGTAATTACATTAGAGACATAAATATTTTACTTCCAGAAATATAATGGATTAATAACATTACTGATTGGACTATAATAATTTAAAAATTTGCCAAGCCTGGTGGTATACATTTACAATCCCAGTACTCTGAGGCAGAGTGTGGGAAGGCTGAGGCAGGAATATTCCAAGTTTGAGCCCAGTCTGGGTAATTTTGTAACTTCATGAAACCCTGTCTCAAAATTAAAAATCATAAATGGCTGGGGATATAACCCATTGGGAAAGCCCTGGGTTTAATCTTCAGTACCACAAATAATAATAGTAATAATAATGATAGAAAAATTTTCTTTTATTGAAGTGTAAATATTTTCTTTTTATTATTAGCTGAACTTGGAGACTATAATCAGTCAGAAAATTTTCCAGGCTACCTCTCAGATTATTCTTTCATTCCTAATCAACCTCAAGATTTTGAAAAAGAAATCACAAAATTACATCAACAGCATACGTAAGGACTTATTTTGTTTTTTGCTTGTTTGGGGCATACTTTCTAGAGATATGTTTTAATTTAAAATATTATCTTTAATTGCACTGTACTTAATACAGAATAGTTAATATATCAAATAATATTGTTACAAAAAATATAGGTGATCTACTGAAAATAACTTGGCTTATTTTATAAAATATATGACTTATTTTCCTTTCTGTTACAACCATAAAACTATGTGGAAACAGAAATTTATTTGTTATTATTATGTAAAATTGTCAGGTAAGAGGAATTTTAGAGCCAGGTGTGGTGGTACATGCCAGCACTCAGGAGGCTGAGGCAGGAGGATCACTGCAGGTTTGAGGCCAGCCTGGGCTACACAGTGAGTTCAAGGTTAGCGTGCCTATACTATATAGCGAGACCCTGTCTCAAAGAAAAAAGAGAAATTTTAGAGTATTAATATATTCATACTACACAGATCAATTTAATTGATAATTCTTTCTTAGTTTTTAGTCAGATGAGAGGTGTTGATTCTGTTTGGTAATAAGCCAAACAGGAGAGGAGAAAAGGAACTTCATGTAATACTTAATTAATAAAAATATTGCTTTAGTCATGCACAGTGACTGAGTACCTGAAATATCAGACACTCAGAAAGCCTAAACAGGAGAATTGCAGATTTGAGATTAGCTTGAGCAGCTTAACAACCTTCTATCTCAGCATCAAAGAAAAAGGGCTTGGGACATAGCTCAGTGGTAGGAGACCTGCCTACCCTGGGTGAGGCCTTGGGTTCAGTCCTTAGTAACTAATACACAGTTTCTGATATGATGAGTTTTGTACTTGTGAATCAAATCAGTACCTATCTGTTCACCACACCATGAAAAAGCACTTCTCTGGAAATTGTCTCTGGACATGCACATTTTAGAAGTTCTGTGTGTGATTTAAGTGCACCTATGGTGTAATGAAATAATTTTGAGAAGTAATGCTTTTAAATGATACCTAAAAGTAAGTGGCTTTGTTATAGCAATGAGACCACTCAAGCATTTTAAAAACTTACTATATTCTTGCATTTGTAGAAAATAAGAAAATATTCTAGAAAATAATAATTGGGCTTACTGAAATTATGACCTCCAAGTAAGTTAGATTAGATGGTACTATACAGAAATAAGAGGAGGGGGCTGGGGATTTAGCTCAGCGGCAAAGCGCCTGCCTGGCAAGCGCAAGGTCGTGAGTTCGGTTCCCGGTACCGGAGAAAAACCAAAAAACAAAACAAAACAAAACAGAAATAAGAGGAATAGTCCTATTTGGTGTTCATTGTACATTCATATAAACTGCTCATGTTTCCTGATAAATATCCTTTTTCTGATTTCACCATATTGCAGTGAATCTAATTTTAACTTAATTATGTGTTTACAGAGGCTTATCTCCTGCAGAAGCAGAATTTAATTACCTAAATACAGCACGTACCTTAGAACTCTATGGAGTTGAATTCCACTATGCAAGGGTAAGTGGAAAAAGCTTACTTTGAAGTTGTTGAGTTAGGCACTGTTACTCTGTATCAGAAATTTTATTAACGTCTTGCGAGGATTAGGTAACTTGTGATTGCTGCTGACATAGTCACACTAAGGATTCCTCTAATACCTGATGAGATGGTTGGTTAAAGTAATCTGTTCATATTTTTTCTTCCAGGTAGTGTTTTATGTTATAAAATAACTTGTAGACCATAGAAGACAGTACTCTTGGCATACTTATTTTTCAAAATAAGATTAATAAGAAATTTTTTTGTATACTTCAGTAATCATGAACATAAAAGATATTCTTACATCAGTTAAGCCTGTATTATTACTCTTTATTTGCATCATTTAGTAGTATCATTGTAAGATTTTTCTATAAAACATAAATGGAATATATTAACATGTTGTTTTCATCTTCCCTCATCTCTTTATTAAAATTGTATGTATAAGCTGGGCATGGTGGTCTGCGCCTCTAATCCCAGCACTTGGGAGGCTGAGGCAGGAGGATTGCCATGAGTTTGAGGCCAGTGAGTTCAAGGTCAACCTAAACTACATAGTAAGACTCTGTCTCGAAAAGACAACAGCAACAAAAAAAGATTTTATAGTCATTGGCTTTTCCTGTACAAGACCTATACAAGACCTCTTTGTGTGTGTCAAACTTTTCTGCCTGAGAAAGACCTACCATCTTGCTGTAACTATAACAATTTAGGAAAAGTTGTTTTTCTCATATGTGGACATTGACACCTTAAGAAGAAAATGCAGATTTTCAGTAAGCATGAAGAGAAATTTTGTGGCATGAAAAACAAAAGGACAGCTGGGGAGTTAGTCCAATGATAGAGAGCTTGCCTAGCATGCACTGGCAAGGCTTTGAGTTCAATTCCCAGTACGGCCAAACTGGGTGAGGAGGAGAGGGGGAGAGGTAAAAAGAGAAGACTTATATATCAAGTGAATATCACAAGCAAAGGTACTTGAAATAATTTTCTATTTTATTAAACAAAATGTTAGATAAGCAAGATTTTCTGTGTGCCTTCAAGTGGGACCAAGTTGTTTATCTCAATCTTCAAAATGCAGGTAAATATTAGAGCATTCATACTAGTGAGTATATTCTATACCTTGCACAAAACTGACACTAAGGATTACTTAGTGAGCAAAATATTCATTATCCCTGCTGTCATGGAACTCACACAGTCACATAGATGGATTTTTCTTTTGATGTTCATTTCTATGAGCTTTAATACCTGTATGGATTTGCATAACTGCTATCACAGAATATGGAGCAGTTTTATCATGTCAAAGAAAAGTCCATACTCAATGCTGTGTCCTTGTGCTTGACAACCATGAATGTTCTCTGTAGTTTTTTTCTTGCCCTAATGTCTGATAATTGAACCCTACAGTATGTTGTAACCTTTCAATTCTGGCTTCTTTCACATATTTCAGTGTATTTTATATGTACAAATTATGTGTTTTAATAGTTTGTTTCTTTTTATTGCTGAGTATTGTTCATAGTATCAATGTATTATGATTTGTATATATATTCACCTACTGGAAGACATCTTGGTTTACAGATTTTTGGTGGATTTTTTGTTTTTTAATTAATACAGCAACAATAAACATTCAGAAACTTTTCTCATGAGTTTAAGTTTTCACTTCTACATGGTAAATCTCTCATAAGGGGATTGCTAGGTCACGGTGTAAGAGTATATTTAACTTTACAAGAAACTAGAAAACTGTTCTCTAAATTTTGTTGTGTTTCTTTCTTAAGCTTTTCATATAGGTATATTTTTAGCTCATGACAGCATTCCCTAGTGGCTAGTAATGTTGAGCATACCTTTTTAGATGAAATAGCCCTTCCGTGTTTTGCCCACTTTTGAATTTGGTTTTCTTTTAATGTATTTATTAGTACATGATTGTAGTACATAATGACTACATTCACTGTGGGGAATTGGTACATTTACTTAATACAGCTTACTTCTACTTTGTCCGCCTCTCTCCTCCTTCCCTCTATCTCTTGGTCCCCTTCCTATTTGCAAATGATCAGCCCAGCATGGTAGTATACACCTGTAATCTCCTGCAATGGGGAGGCCTAAGCAGGAAGATTGCCACAAGTTCAAGGGCACCTGGGCTAAATAGTGCATCCAGGCCAGTTTGAACTACATAATGAGACCCTATCTCAATTTTTAAAAAAGAAATCTGTATCCCTGTTTGCTATTATCTAGCTTTGATTTAGCTCTTTTTCAATACCTTGGGTTTCTCATATAAGAGAAACCGTGCATTATTTAAGCTTCCATGTCTTACATTTCACTTAACATTGTAGTCTCCAGGTGCTTCATTTTCCTACAGATGACTCAAATTTATCCTTCTTTACATCAGAGCAGTACTTTCTTGTATATAAATACATTTTTTATTCATTCATCTGTTGATAGGCATATACATTGCTTCTAAAATTCAGCTATAATGAGTTGTGTTGCTCTAAATATGGGCATGCATGTATCACTGTGATACCTTTAAATCTTTTGGAATGCTATGTAGAAGGGATGAATAGAATTTCTAGTTTTAGTATTTTGAAGAATCTCCATACTGATTTCTATGGTGATTATACTAGTTTACATTCCAGCAGTGTAGAGTTCTTTTTTCCCCACAGCCTTACCAGAATTTGTTGTTATTTGATATTTTGTTGGTAGCCATTCTTAATGGAGTAAGATGGAATCTTAGTGTTGTTTTAATTTGTATTTCTCTCATGGCTACAGATATTGAACATTTTTTCATGTATTTATTGGACATTTGTACTTCTTCCAAGAAGTTTCTGTTTCAGTTGTCCATTCTTTGATTGGGTCTTTTATTTGGGGGGCAGGGGAGTCTAACATTTTGTATTTGTCATATGAGTCCCCTGACTGAGGAGTGGCTGGCAAAAACTTTCCCATTCTGTAGGTTGTCTTTTCACACTATTCTTACTGTTGAATTTTGAAAGCTTGTTAATATTCTTAGTGTAAGTTTTTGTTGGGTGATTTACAGTCTCTCTGGTCATTAGTTTGCACTAATGTTCTTTTTGCAGTATCTTTCACAAAACAAAAAAAGCAATAGATTCTAATATTCTTTATTCAGTCACTAATAGAACTGATAAAAAATCAGCAAGAAATAGATTTCAGGAATAGTTAGCATATCCAACAACCTCAGTTGTATGTTCCTTTCAAGCACACAGAATATTTCTGACCAAAGTACTGTTAAATTAGGAAATAATAATGAAAAGATAACTTTAAACATTCTCCAAATACTTGAAGATTAAGAAACACACTTTTAAATAAGCTGTGGGTGAGAAATTTTATTTAACCCACTGTTTACTTTCCAAATACCTACGAAGAGTGACAGTTGGTTATTGTTAAAACCAATAGAAATAACGGATATTAAACTAATCTTAAAAATATAAAATAATTGAAGGTAATTATTAGCAAGGACCATTGTGAGAGCTAAAATCAATTTTATGTAAAGAATTTTTTATCTCTTAAAAGGGAAAAGGCATTATCTCAGGAGTAGTTGCTGCCTGATTGCTGGTCTTGCTTGTTAAATGAATATTTTGGTGGCTTGCTGAATACCTATTATCTCTACTAGAAAATCAGTCAGTCATTAACCATTTATTACAGTAAGAGCATAGAATTAAAGAATGTAAGAACTATGAAATATCTAAGTCATGGATCCTCAGATTTAATCTCTTTTATAAGAATGTTCATATAGTATTAACTACTTACCTTAAAAACTGTTTTGGGGTGTTTTTTTTTTTTGATCCAGGAATCAAACTCAGGACTTTGCACTTGCCAGGCAGGCACTTGTACCACTGAACTACATCCCTGGCCCATGATATATCTATCCATCTTGTCTGAAGGCTTGTCTTTAGGTGTTAGGTGTAGGATGATTCCAGTTAGTCCTAAAACAATTCTAACAAAGTTTTACACTTAATTGTGAGTGTCTGATTTACATAGGTATTTGTAATAGTGCTGCAAATAACCTGTAATGGATGAAAAATAGCCTATACCCTTCAAGAGTTTTGAGAAAAGAAAAGCTTGAGGTATTTTGATTATATATTTTCAGTGACTATTTACTGAACCCCTACTATGTTCTAAGACCTGTTTATAGATACTGTAGGTACAGCAATGAGAAGAGTAGATAAAAATGTAACCCTCATGAAGGTTGCATTTTTGGTAGCCAAGGCAAAACTATAAACAAGTTCGGGATTGTGATGCCTCTCAATTTCCTCTTGTTACCAATTGCTTTTGCTATTCAGCTTTTCTTTTGGTTCCATATGAATTTTAAAATTGTTTTCTCCAGTTGTGAGAAGAATGCTTTGGAATTTTGATTTGAGATTATGTTAAATCGGTATATCAATCATGAAGTATGAAGTTGGGCATGGTGGCATAGGCCCATAATCCCAGCACTCAGGAGGCTAAGGCAGGAGGATCGCTGAGAGTTCAAGGCAGCTTGGCTGCATAGAGAGTTCAAGGCCACCTAAACTACATAGGGAGACCCTGTCTCAAAAAACCAAAAACATTTTTCAAGTTTTAAAAATAAAAAGTTTAGAATTTTTATTTTGATTATATTGCTTCTACCTGCCTAGGAACAGGAGATATCTTTCCATTTTCTGATTTCCTCTTCAGTTTCATTTTTCAGAGTGTTGTAGTATTCATTGTAGAGGTCTTTCATGTCCTTAGTTAGGTTAGTTCCTGAGTATTTAATTGGCCATCATCAAGAAATCAAATAATAACAAATACTGGAGAGGCTGCAGGGGAAAAAGGAACCCTTCAGCATTTTTGGTGGGAATGTGAAATAGTACGGTACAACCACTGTAGAAATCCATATGGAAATTCCTCTTAAAAGTAAAACTAAAAATTCCATTTGACCCAGCTATTCCCCTTCTAGGTCTTTTCCCAAAAGTTAAAGACATCATATTACAGTGACATGTACAAACCCTTGTTTACAGCAGCTATTCCCCTTCTAGGTCTTTTCCCAAAATTAAAGACATCATATTACAGTGACATGTACAAACCCTTGTTTACAGCAGCATAGTTCATGGTAGTTAAATCTTGAAAGTGACCCTTATGTTCATCAACAGATAAATAAATAAAGAAAATGTGGGTATTTGAGCACAGTGGAATACTGCTCTGCCATGAAGAAAACTAAACTTGAGTTATTTGTAGAAAAATGGATGTACCTTGCAACTATAATGTTATGTAAAATCAATCAGACCCTCAAGCTTGAGCATCACATGATTTCTCTAATATGAGAAACCCAGAGTAAAATTAAAGAGCAAAGTAAAAGATAAGAAGTAGGGAGATAGATCATTCTCAAAGGGGAATGGGATTAAGAGATGGAAGGGATACGGAGAGAAGGGATAAGGGATGAAAAAAGGGAACTGGGCTGTGTTACGTACCTGTACCAACTCCACACAAGGAGTGTAAGCATTTTATGTAAATGTACAAAAAAGGGGAAAGAAGAGATATATGAGAAGGCAGGGAAGAAAAGGGTTAAAAAAGAAATTAAGATGTGTTATGTACACATACCAACTTACTCATAAGGAATGTAAACATTATGTACTATACACATATGCTAATAAACTAAAAGAAAAAAAATCATAATTAAGAGAATTATTTTAACAGTTACACTATATCACTTAACATTGGTGGTGTTTCTAGTCCACAACACTATAAAATTTAATGGGTGTGAATTATTATACTTTTAACTTGTGATAATGGTGGAGAGGTTGAAATATTTGAGTCACCTTAGTCTGTGTAGAGAGCTGTAGTCTCCAAAGAAAAGAGAGGTCTGTACACTTCAGGGGAAAATGAAATGGCAGTTTGATATGGATAGAAAATATTAAACTATCTTTTCATATTTAACCTAAATCTCATCCTTTGAATATTGCTATTTTCAAACCTGCTATTGAAATATTAAACCCAAATACAGGTATGTATTATGAGTGAATTATAAGGTAAACATCCTCATAGCCTCCCCCAGGACAAGCAATAGAACTTTGCTAGTTACTTCAGAAGTCCCCTTCTACTAGCAACTCTCTTGCACCGTGACTTTTTGTCAGCTGTGTATGCCTTTCTAGATATTATAGCTTAGTCCAGGTGTTCTTATTTAAGCATTTTGTTTTCAGTGCCTTATTTTGCTGTTTGATGCTAGCAGCCATTTATGTCCAGTGTCTAGATCCTAAGGCACTAGCCACTACAGAATAGAGATACCCTAATTGTATCTTTTTTTTATTATTATTTCACCAGAATAATTTTTTTAGGGATCATTCTTTTACTATTCAATTATCTGGTGGTACAGTTCATGTAAGAAAGGCATAGAAAACATTGTTTGACTCTTTCTGTTTGTCTATCCAGTTTTTAAAGTAATGAATATGAACTCCTGGATAAAACATTTTGATAGGTTTCCATGCTTTATAATTATTTTCTTTATTAGAGCTCAAGTTGTTTCATCTCTGGTTGTTGGGGGAGCTCTTTTACTGGTTCCTAAATTCTTTTGACATGATCTGAGTAGTCTGGTAGTTTTCCTACTGTCCAGTATTTTGGGATGCTTGGGCTCATCTTGTCCATTTTCTGCCAGAGAAGCATAATCTGCCTTTTCTGCAAGAAGTTTTAGTGTCTTTCAGTGGAAAGTGGTATTTAAGAATCTCAGTTTGATTCAGGTGGTAAAGATGCTAATTCCTACTGGATTAATCATTGCTTCTAGGCCTTTTAATTATAGAGAGTTGGTAATTATGTGTATTTGTTTCTGTATATCAGTATTGAGAGCATGTTTTGGTTTTTAGAACACTCAAAGGACTACAGAAGTCATTTTTAAATGGCTGCTCTGAATTTACATGGTCAAATTGTGTACTCAGTGCATATGATAACCTGTTATTTAATTGTCATTTAATCTTGGTCCCAAAATTAAAGTTAAAACTCATCATGTTTTTATAATCAGAGATTGTTTTGAGTTTATTCCCTAGTATTATGGCTGGTTAAGTGTAGGCATAGTATTACTATCAGAAATCAATTAAGAAAATACTTATTTGAGAGCTAGGTTCTGTGAGGTAGAGTGAAATTTTATAATTGTTCATTGGGGCCCAAAGTATGATCCACTAACTAATGCTCATCTTTGTGCTATTTGTTACTGGTTATAAGATAAACACAGAAGTTGAGTGTAAGCACTTAGAAACTTTTACAGCATTCTGCATAATGCATTGATCAGTATGTTTCCTAAAAGAGTCAATACTTGGCAGATTCAAATTTTTCAAAAAACAGACATAACTGTTCATTTACCAATATAATCTGAAAAGTACTGATAACATACAATCCCAGTAATTATCATATAGCTGATAGTAATTAGGAGTTACAATAAGTGATAAAAGAGACAGACAAGTATGAGAGACGCTTATAGATGTGGGCTAACGAAGTTTTCACAGAGAGGATTGATATGATCTAGACTTCAATTTGGTTTAGTTTGTTTAGGTAGAGAGATGTGAAGAAGGTATGAAAACAACATTAATAAAACATGGGATTATGGGGACACAAAACACATCATGAAACTAATACTGCTTCAGTAAACTAGAACATTTTTACTATTTAGAAAGAAGAGATAAAGTGGGATGAAATGGTTGTTTAAAGGCCTTTGTTGCCATGCTAAATAGCTATTTTCATAAACCATTCATTCTACAAATGGGTTCAAAGGAGTCTATGCTTAAGAACCCAACAGTTGACCAAACAGGCTTACTCTATTACCTAAGTTCTCATGAAGAAGAGGAAAAAAATTAAACAAGTCAATGTATGATATAATATTAGATAGTAATAATTGCTATGAAGAAACAAATATAATTTTAAATTAAAGTGGTGAAAATTCATTTTTCTAAACATTGGAATTAATAACATTTGTTTCTGTGAAGGACTTACTACGTTTTCTTTTGCCCACATTTGGCACAGTGCTATAGGAACTGCAATTTTAGTGTAGATATTGATAATTTCCAAGCTGAGTTCCTACATATTTTGAATAGGCTTCTGTTTTAGAAAAGCATCTGTTTGTACTAATGTACCATCTTGATTGATGTCTCCATGTATTGAGTTGCAGGCATCTCTTTAATGGTATTAGTTCTCCTTAAATGTGTGGTGATCCTTGGCAGTGTAATTCCTTTTATATTTGTGATTCCCAGTTCACCTGGCTCTCCATGCTGTTCCTTCCAACTCTAGCTTCCCATTGGTAATGGCGCAGGAAGAAAGGAATATGTAGCCAGGAACAAGATGCCTATAGTACTTACGACTTTTTCGTGTTTTGAATTCACCATCTATTGTAGTTTATATCTGGATGTCCCCCCAAGCCCTCATGCACTCAGAGACAGGACTTACAGATGGTATTAGATAAGGGGCTACCTATAGCTGGCTTGGTGTAAGAGGTAGTCTGGTTGGAAAAGGCTGATCAGAGAGAGTATGATCTGGAAAGGTTTATCTCCTTCCATTGCTCTTCCTTTTTTTGTACTTCATATCTATCATGAAATGAACAACTTGCTTGGGCCAAGGCCCTTCTACCATGCCACTTCTACCTGGACCTGGTAACCATACAAGAACTGAAACTTACAGAACATGATCCAGAATAAACTTTTCTTCCTTTAAGTTGTAGATGTCAGGTATTTTGTTCCAGTGATGAGCAAAGAGACTAAGACACCATCTTTTTCTTCAGGAAATTACTCTTAATTTGAATTCCCTGTCTCTGGTGTCCACAATTGGCATTTTAGATGGGCTACATGCATTTTTGTGTCCCCTGGCTCAATCTAGTTGGGGTGAAATGATGGGATGGATAGGAGCTAATTACATTAAATGTTCCCCACTTGATCATCCTGACAGTATCTTGAGGAGCCCCTTTATTTCTTAGAACTATTGTGTCTAGATTTTTTTTCACCATAAATCTGATCTTGTCCTCTTAATGTTTTTAAGGATTATTAAAATGTCTGGTCTATTGATAAAATATTTCAAGTGTTACAGATTGTTATATATTTTCTCTTTTTATGTATCTTCTCTGATTTATCATGTTTGGGGCAAAAGGATTAATTAAGGCATACATTTAGCCTTTTGTCTTTTAGGCTTAGTCTACCATTTTGATCCAAAATTCTAATTAATGTCCTTTAAAAAGTGACTTAAGACTCTGAATAGCATATAGTAGTACTAGTTGTTGCCAAACAAAAATGAGCAATCGTATTAATGTACATTTACATTTGATCACGTAAGTATAATGCCACCTAACAGATTAAGAATTTTAATAGAATTATTAAAAATACAGTTTTAAAGATTTGTCTGGGGACACAATCATTAAATCTTGGTTTATGTATTCATTAAGTAGTTCTGTCTTCTGAACAGCTGAATAGTAAAAGGTAAAAGCATGCTTGTTATATTGGGTTGCCAACAGAATACTATTCAAAGTGAAAAATCAAAAATGGTTCCAAGATTGATTAACATCTGTGAAAAGTATTTTAACTGTACTCCTTTTCTCAACAGTGCAGATTAGTTAATTCAAACTGGGCCAGAATCATATGAACACACTTACTTTTCTCAAGCAACAATTCAAATTTTCTTTTCTGGAATCTTCAAAACTCTCCCAAGATTATTCTCTATTCAGTACCCCCAGTGTTGTTTCTAATGTAGTATATTAGTTATAGGACTTCTCGTTATATTGCATATTGGCTTATCACAGGTTCTCCTTCACCAGAGAGTCTTCCTAGCCTTAATTTATGAGAAATCTTGAGTTTATTTTTACTTTAGAGTAATGAATTTGAAGTTTATCTTTTATGTATTTTTATGAGGTAGCAGTTACCATTTGGGTTTGCAATTATTGTGGGATTCTGTACAATCTTTGAAAAAGTCACATTATGCTAGATTAATTGTGTTATAAAAATATATCTCAAACAGTTTAAGCCCATTGCTTTGGATATGTATGTATGTATATATGTATTTATTTATTTTGAAGGATCAAAGTAATAATGAAATTACGATTGGAGTGATGTCAGGAGGAATTCTGATTTATAACAACAGGCTCCGAATGAATACCTTTCCATGGTAAGAATATCCATTTGTGCTTTTACAACTATATTGCCAGGCTGGGCATGGTGGTACACACCTGTAATCCCAGAACTCAGGACACTGAGGCAAGAGGACAGCTGTGAGTTCGAGGCCAGCCTGAACTGCAAAGCAAGAATGTTGTCTCAAAAAGACCAAAACAAACAAATAAAAAATCCACAACTATATTGCCAATAAAGTAATACATATTTTAAAAAAATTACCATCAAACTATTTAAATATTGTATAGTACAACTATATGATACCTTGCTCATTTGATACCTACTAGGAAATACGAAAATAATTCATTTCAAAATGGCATATTAGGGGCTGGGGATTTAGCTCAGCGGCACAGTACCTGCCTGGCAGGCGTGAGGTCTTGAGTTCGATTTCTAGTACTGAAAAAAAAAAAAAAACCCAGAACAAAATGGCATATTAAAAATATTGCTTATGAATTTTTCCTAGAGAATCTTTAAATATGCTGTATAGTAATATTGAAGTGCCTACTCTGTGTCTTCAGTTATGTTAAGTGCTGTACAATATTTTATTTAAATCCATTCATTTGAGATGTTAGTTTATTAAGTAAAATATAGGCATAGCTACTATAACGAAGACCCAAAATTAAAAAGTGGTTTAAATTAGTGCAAGCAAAGTGTGAGCCTTCATGGGGTTTAAAACTGATGTTTTTTCATTTTACTAGTCTTTTGTCTCTAGCACATTTCCTTGTCCTCATTGTCCAAAATGGGTCAGCACCATCATTTCTATATTGCAAAATGGAGAAAAAGAGAGGATAAGATCTTACACTTTTTGAAAATTATAAAAATCACTTTGATCACATCCTATGAATATCTCATGTTTTGTGTTCATGTGTGTGTGTGTGTACGCATGCTTGTGTGTGTGTGCGTGTGTGTGTGTGTGTGTGTGTTGATGTATACAGAGATTTAAAAACTGATTTTCATTAGGGGAAGAAACAAAAATGACATTAATGCATTTTATTAGTCTTTCTTTTATATACCTCATAAAAATTTAATCCTGATTTTTCAGTATTTGTAATTTTTATTTAACAGATGTTTGAAATGAGTCACCCTCCTAATACTTTAGTAGGAATATGATAGCTAACAAAAACAAATGTATTAAGAAACTGCTTCAACTTTTTCCTAGATAAGTTCCCAAAACATGAATGATACAATAAAAAATAGACAAAATAAACATCATAAAAATTAAATACTGGCATGTGAAGTCTGCAAAATATATCTATTTATAGACCTAAGTGTAGAACCCAGAATTTTTATAGCAGTAATAAAAAGACAACCTAACTATAAAGAATAGGCAAGATATTTGAAGACACTTTTACCAAAGATGTATACATAATAAATAAGCACATGGAAAAATTTTCAGTTACTAGTAAAATACAAATTAAAAATACAAACTGGGTATGGTGGTGCATGCCTGTAATCCTAGTTCTCAGGAGGCTGAGGCAGGAGGATTGCTGTGAGTTCAAGACCAGCCTGGGCTACAAAGTTGAGCTGTAATCCAATCTGAACTGCATAATGAAACCCTGTCTCAAAAAAAAAAAAAAGAAAGAAACAAAGGAAAACAGAAAGAAAGAAAGACATGAGCTGATGAGCCGTTCTTTGACTACGTAGAAAACTAGTAAAAAAAAAAGGTCAATAGTATCAAATGATGGAAATGAGCACCTAGAAGTCTTACATGTTACTGGTAGAAATTCAAACAAGTATACCAGCTTTGGAAAACAATTTGGCAGTTTCTTTAAAATTAAAAATAGCCATATAACCCAATGGTTCTTTTCCTAGGTATTTACTCTGGAAAACCTAAGTTCAGATTAAGATTTGTACTTACAATTGTACAACATAAATATTATTTCAAAAATTTTTATTCATTGATGTTTTTCTGAAAAACTATTTTAGCTCTACTAAATAAACTCACAGAATAAATTTAGAATACAGTAAAAGTACAAAATATGCCAAAGGGCATCCAGGTTAGTGATTCTTAGTCACTGTTTGATATTTGTGAAATTAAGATGATTTCAAACTGGTTTAGATTTTCTCTTGGTCATTTAAAAATAGTTTTTTATTTTTATTTGTTGCATATGTGATGGTCTTAATGGAAATTACAGCTTTTGAAATATATGTGGCTCTTGTAGTTTTTGTTTGTTTTTTGAGACAAGGTTTCGCTGTGTAGTTCAGGCTGGCCTTGAACTCATTATGTAGCCTGGGCTGGCCTCAAACTCCCAGTAATACTCATACCTTAGCCTCCCCAGTGCTGGGATTACAGGTGTCTGCCACCATGCCCAGTTACTCCTATAGATTTTTAAAATTTGGGTGCCTGGTTTGCTTTCTTTTCATAACTATAGTTTCTTTTACCCACTCTTTTGTTCACTTTCTGGAGATAATGCCCACTGTCATGACAGAAGAATTTCCCAATGTTGTTTTGTCCTTGTCCAGTGAAAGCTGTGGATCTAAAAGTAAAATAAAAATTTTCAAACCTGTAAACTAAGCATATCTGTTGTTCCCCACTCTAAACAGACATGCTTGAAGCTGACTTATGCCTCAAATGATTGAGGTGTGAGAAGTTTCTTCTTTGGGAATGTGGAGAGCTGCTTGGATAGATCGGGCCATGAGTCATGAAGATCAAAACTTAAAATTACCAAGAAAATATTTATTAGTAAATTGGGGCAGGACCCAAAGCATGTTTTGCTAAGATTGAATCTCTTGATTTCATGGCCATTAGAGCTTTAGATCAAAAAAGATCCGAGTATCACTTAGCTTATGGTTATAAGGAGACAAAATCAATTTGATTCATATTGATTATATTAATCTTTGAAACTCAACATTATGTGAGTTGCAGATAAGAGCAGAGGCAGTGCAAAAAAGCTAAATCAATCAGTATGGAGATTTCTCAAAGAACTAAAATTAGAAATTCCATGTTACCTAGCTATTCTCCTTCTAGATATCTTCCCCAAAGAGCCAAAGACATCATAATACAGCGATACATAAATACAAATGTTTATAGCAGTACAAATTGTGATAGCTGAATCCGCAAGTAGCCCATATGCCCATAAAGAATGGATACAGAAAATGGGTTATCTTTTATAATGAAATACTACTCAGCTATGAAGAAGAATAAATTCAAGACATTTGTAGGAAAATGGATGCGCCGAAAATACAATGTGTGAAATAAATCAGAAACACAAGCTTAAATGCTGTATGGTATCTCTCATTTGAGTAAGGCACAGGACAAAAATTAAAATAAGGAAGGATAGAAGGAAACAAGGTGATAAATGTGTTGCAAATGGGAATGGGTCCAGGAGACTGAGGACAAGGGAAGAAGGGAGGGGAAGTAAGAAGATTTGTGATAAGCCATGTACAGGCATCTAACAGCCTCAATGGATGTAAATGTTATATGTCATAAACATGAGCTAAGAATAATAATAGCAACAGGAATGAAACAGAGGGAAAGCGATTTAGAGGAGGAAAGAGGAAAGTGGCTGGGAAGGGAAAGGGGATTTAAAAAAAAAAACTGTGTTTTTTACCTGTGCCTACTGCCCAAAATGAATGTAAACATCGTGTACTGCAAACATGTGCTAATAAAGTAAACAAAAATTTTAAAAAGAAAGGTGAATTTAAAAATACACTTTTAGAAGTCAGAATTTTTAGAGTCACTGTATAAAACTGAAATTTTACATTTTTCAAGAAGTGTTGCTTGTAGTTTCAAAGTCTAGACAACTGTTACTGATATTTCTTGAAATTTTAATTTGTGATATGTAAATTTTTCTGTAGATATGAAATTGGGAAATACATAGGTCCTAATAATTTGATACAGTTTTTCTCAGTTGAGGACATAGATTTTAATTGGTTTTCCGTGATGCATACTTTGTGTATGTACATATGAGAGATGTTTATATATTACTAAAAAATCTAAAAGATCATTTCTATAAATACTTTCTTAGTTTATTAATATTTTTATTGACTATTTTATACTCCAATTTATTCTCCAGGTTGAAGATTGTAAAAATTTCTTTTAAGTGCAAACAGTTTTTTATTCAACTTAGAAAAGAATTGGTGAGTACTGATCTAATGGTTACTCAGAAAATTGAAGTCTTTTAAGAAATGCCCACTCATAAGAGAACTTTTCTACCACTACAAATAAAAGTAAAGTTAATACCATTGGTAACTGGCTACTGAGGTCATTAATGACCAGGTGTACGTACTTGTTTCTCTAGTGTATCTTTGATTTTGATTTAAAATCCTTAGTCATTCTTTCAGCTATCTCTTGAACATATTTCCATGTGATATTTATTGTCAAATTCAGGGGCCAAACATAAGGGCAATATCTGAACGTTTTATATATTATTTTTCATTCTTCTACTGAATATTCAGCACTTCCTTTCATATATATGTTTCCTTTTAGGAGAGTTGAATGTTTCTTCATGAATTTGTATTTCCTCCTTCTGTTGAAGACTGGTAGTAGCCTTTTAATATATTAACTACAAATTGAATTGTTATAGAAAACACAATATTACAAACAATTTCGTCTTATGATATTATCTATTTCATCAAATTAAACTAATCTTATACTTTGATTTATATTATTATAAATTTGAGAAATGCTTGCAAATTAATGCATACTGTGAGATGGTTATAAAATATGTAAAATATGCCTAAAACCTTAAAAGTTTTTTTGAATCAGGTGCATTTTATTGGTAGAGGTTGATCTACTATGGGACTATGTTTTATCATTTATATACACAAGATAATGTAGGCTTTTAAAATAGTATTTTATTGAAATAAAACATAATATAAGAAAGAACATTTATCTTTAGTGTACAGTTTGATAAAGTGAACATACCCAATATCTGCACCTTTCAGATTAATATATAAGACATGACAAGCACTCTACAAGCTAGTAACATTGCTAGTGGGGCTGATAGCCACATTCAGACATTAATACTACCAAAAGATAAATAACTTTATTCTCATTTGTGCTACTGAGGACTAGTTTGCATATTTTTGAATTCTATAACATGAAATACTATATACTCTGTTTTGTATTTGCTTTCTTTCCTCTAATATTATTTGTGAGAGTAATCCATATTGTTGCTCATAGCATTAATTTATTGCATTAATATGTAGTATTCCATTAAACACATATACCATAACTTATTCATTGTGCTGTAGGGGATTTTGTCATTTTCAGGTTGAGAATATTAGGACTAATGCTGCTAATGAACATTGTACATGTTCCAATAAAAATTTTTAGAGAAATATAGTGTAATAAACCTTGTTTTGGGAATTAGAGGACACAAGTTTTAAATAATTATAGACAGTACAGTAGAAGTCAACTTTTCTAATTTGCCTCATATTACCAGTGTTATCAGTAGTAATAAAAGTTATAATATATGACATTTATTGAGAACTTCCTACATACTTGGTACCATACCAACCTCTTTGTTTAATCCTCACACTTGTACTCTAAGGTTAGGGTTTCAATTAGGCATATGTTTATGTGTAAGTAACAACAGCAACAAAAACCAACTAGTATTAAGACAGCACACAGCTATACTCCAAGAAAGCCACTTTGTAGATGCAATGTTTTCTCTCCAAAACATCTCTGTTTTCAAATATCCAACTTCACAGTATGTTCTTATCTCTCAATACAACATTTTATGTCCATTTTTTTATAAACATTGTGGGAAAAATACTGTTACATTCCAAATACAATTAGTATGTCACGTTTATTATATAGCATGTAAGCTGTATGTGTTTTTGCATGCAAAACAACCCTTAATATCTTTTGACTGACAAATACTTCTTGAACAAGACTTTCTTACCTAAAAAAAATGATAATTCAGTATGTTACAGTTGATAACTCTTCATCAAAAGACATCAAGTGATAGTACAGATTATGTGTGTATCACACACAAACACACATTCCTTAGGTATATGTGCATTCCAATAGAAAAATATGACAGTAACTTGAATGACACTTCACAAATAAGAATAACATCACTATTATTATGAAAAGGTGTTGAACCTCATTATTCATCAAGGAGAGGTACACATTATATCCAAAATGTGCTACTTCTGCATACCCATCAAAACAGTAAAATGGAAAAATAAAATACCAATGGTTGGCAAGTGTGTGGTGCATACACTGTTGGTGGGAAGGAGTATACATTGACCTAATCATTTGGAAAAGCTTTTGGGCATTATCCACTGAAGCTGACGTATGCATACCTTATGATCCTACAATAGAAATGTGCCCATATGTAAGAATACATGTACATAACAGCATTATTATTATATACCCAAACTGGAAATGTTGCATATCAGAAACATAATGAACAAAAAAGTTAGACCTAAAGATATAAAATGTGTAATTCCATGTACATAAAGTTAAAAAACAAGCATGAATAATATATAATGATAAAAATCAAAAGGCAGTCTGGTAGAAAAAGTAGACAAAAGATGTGGCAGTAGGGGCTGGGGATTTAGCTCAGCGGCAAAGCACCTGCGTGGCAAGTGTAAGGTCGTGAGTTCGGTTCCCGGTACCGGAGAAAAACCAAAAAAAAAAAAAAGAAGTGGCAGTGATCCATTTCTGAATCTTAAGATAAATGATTGTATTTGTGTGAAAATCAGAACTGTACACTTATGGGACAGGTACTTTGCTATACATGGTTTACCTCATGAAATTACTTAGTAATCTGTACCAGACTTGAAAATTAAAGAAATTCTATTCTAGTGCTAATTATTTTAAATTTTGAATTTTATAATACTGTTCAGAGGTACTGAACATTTTTGTTTACAATCTAGGCAGAATTATGAGATATTGCTAAAAAGTGTGATGGTATATCCTAAATTTTAATTTATAGGCCATAATTATATTTTGAAATAGAATCCTAAGTAATAAATTTTGGAAATAGATATGCATCAAAAATTTAAACTACTTTCTAACTATGATCTAGGGTAAAAATTCCTGAAAGTTATAAAATTACTCAATGAGATTGAAGTTTTACAAATTTCTTCATTTACTTTTTATTAAGTAAAGGAAAAAGATGCTACAGGGATTATTAGCATTTACAAGGCTGGAACATTTTATGTCAAAAGTAAGTGGAGCATTAGAGCTGACATTTTCCTGGTATTTTCTGCATTTTGTCATTTATTACAGCACGAATCTAGAGAAACACTGTTGGGATTTAATATGGTGAATTACAGAGCATGTAAAAACTTGTGGAAAGCATGTGTAGAACATCACACATTCTTCCGTTTGGACAGACCACTTCCACCTCAAAAGAATTTCTTTGCACATTATTTTACACTAGGTTCAAAATATCGGTACTGGTAAGTATTATGTTTGTGTTAAGGTTTTACTGTTGGATTTCTTTCTCCCTTTAAAGTAAAGGTCAAAGCCTGGCGTAGTGGTGCAAACATGTAATCCCAGCACTCGAGATGCTGAGACAGGAGGATCATTGCGAGTTTGAGACCAATCTGGGCTACAAAGTGAGCTCAAGGTTAGCCTGAACTGCATAGTGAGACCCTGTCCCAAAAAGACAAAAAAAAAAAGAAAATAGTAAAAATAATAAATGAAATAAAATAAAGATCCGAGAATTATTGTTACTCATTTATACGTACAGAAATCTCCATGGAGTATAGCCCCTAATTCTTACTAGTAAGAAATTCTATAGATTCTTGTGAAATATTTCAGCTATAAGAAGCCTATTTCATTCACTGTATTGCAGGTCATCACATCTGAAGTAAACCAGCCGCATTTACTTACAATGTAGACAGATGTTACAATTTCCATTTTTTCTTTATTAACTAATTATATGAAAACTGTCCAATGTTCTAAGATATATTTATTTTATTTGTAAAAAAACCAAGATTTCTTCTGCATGAATAACAGTTACTTTGTATTTTGTTTCTGAGTTGCCAAATCCTTTACTGTAAAGAGTTCAAGATGTCCAGTAAGTAAAATCATATTTAATTGTTGAATAATAACCCCAGGTTACTTTTCCTAAAATTGTCTTACCTGAAAATAATTTCTCTTTACTGATGCATAATGGAATACAGTTTGACATTTCAGTTGTAAACAGCGTGTATTTCAGGATAATTAACATATCCATCACTTAAGACATTTATAATTTCTTTGTGTTGGGAATAGTCAAAAGTCTACTGGATATTTTGAAATTTATAATAAATACTGTCAATCATACTTACCCTGCTCTGCTATATAGATTAGACAGACTTCCTTCTGTTCATCTGTACCCTTTATCTTATTTATTCTTGAGAGTTTTTCTTTTTTCTTGAAAGCAACAGTCTTTGCAGGTAACTAAATTTTAAAAAGCTGTGATTATTCTTACCTATAAAATACTTAGTAGGCCTACAAAAGCTAGTTTTAAAGTGAAACCTGTTAAAACTCACGTAGAAAAAGTGATACCTTCTAGTAAAACAAGTATTACTTATTTTTTGTTTCTGTTCACACTACAGGATTTTCTCTTCTAAAAGTAAAACCCTTGACTATTATGTGTTAGATTAATTCATATTATCTATTCATGAAAAGGAGTTAGATGAGTCTCAATAAGGATTTGTATTACAAACTTCAAACATTTATAAATGCCCAACTTGTAATCTCAGTAAAAATAATGGCCTGAAGCTTAGTACATGATATACCACTAAAAATATTTCTCCTTTACCCCAAGAAAAAGGAGAAACAGAAGCATAAAAGTTCAGTAGCAACAATTAGGAAAATTTTAATAACAAAAAAGTACAGTAGATTAAGTGACGATATTTTAATTTCGTGCTTTCTTAAAAGCAATATTGAGAAAAGTAAGGTGACAGTACTTGGAAATTTAAAGGTAAATGGACTAAGGAAAACATTGTCAGGTCAGTGATAAAAGTAAAGGAAAATGCAAAGCCTTACCTATCTGTACTGTTTCAGCAGGAACAACAGAAGTCTCTTAGGCTCTAGTGAAATGAGAGAACAGTACAAACCCTAAGGGTATTCCTGTAATGAATTCAATTCCTAAATGACCACTGAAGAGATCATACATGAACTTCTCTTACCCTCTGGTAGAATGCTTTCTTTTTTTTTCTGTCCTTGCAGATATATACGAAGTTCTGGTCACTTTTACACAGCTATTATGTGTATTGATAGTTCATGCTTTAATTGCAGAATAGTATTGCACACAGTGTGTGCCTGTGCGTGTGTGGGTGTAATTTATCCATTCACGTGATGATAAATATCAAGTGGTTTTTGTTTTAGGGGTCCATTACAAATAAAGCTACTACATGCATGCATATGGAAGTCTTTCTATTAACATTTGCTTTAATTTTTCTTGGGTAAACATGCATTGGAATGGTCAGGTCATATGGTAGATACATGTTTAACTTTGTAAGAAACTGCCAAACATTTTTTCAGAGCTCTTGTACCATTTATTTACTCTCTTGCAGTGCATAAGAGTTCCAGCTCAGTGCTGAGGATATAGCTCATCAATAGTGTTTCCTAGCACACACACAAGGCCGTTAGCCCTGCCAAAAAGAGTTTCAGTTCCCTCACAAGCTCATCAGTGTTTGCTGTTTTCTTTTCATTATGTATTGGTGTTTTTTGAAGAGCACAGTTTTTTATTTTTGATCAAGTTCACTTTACCAGTTGGTTCTTTTTTGAATCTTTTGTTGTTCTAAGGAATCTTCTTCACCTGTTTCAGAGTCACAGAGATTTATTCCTGTTTTCTTCCAAGAGTTTTATAGTTTTAGACCTTACACATTGAAGTCCGTGGTCCTTTTGGATATTTTTCTTATATTTAATGTGAATTATGGATTGAAGTTTTGTTTTTTTCTTTTGCTGATGGATATCCAATTGTATATTTGCACCTTTGTTAAATATCAGTTGTTCATATTTGTGTGGTCCTCTCTCAGACTTTATGTTTTAAGGGCCTGTAGTGTTAGTTCTCTAACTTGGTTCTTCTTTTTAGAAGTTGTTTTAGGTGTTCTGGGGTTTTTGCATTTCCATATGAATTTTAGAATTAGCTTATTAATTTCTCCTAAAAGCCCTCTGTGGTTCTCATTGCAGTTGTTCTGAATCTATACAAAATTTTTCAAGGATTAATACCTTAAAAATACTGATCTTCAAGTTCATATGTATTTTTCTTTAAGTCTTACAGTGTTTGCAGTTTAGGTTTACAGATCTTTCATTTGTTTGTCAAATTTAGCCTTAAGTATTTTATTATAAATTACATTTTTAAAATTTCAACTTCAGATTGCTCATTGCCATTAGATTTTTACATATTGGCCTTGTTTATTGAAACCTTGCTAAATTCTCTTACTTTAGGAGTTTTTTAATTGCTTACAACAGATTTTCTACCTAGAGCCATGATGGCAAACCTTTTAAAGCTTTTGGTTACAAACAGCCCCATTGTGGCATGCATGCCCTTGGTTCCCCACCACTGATCTAGAGAATACAGTCATAGTTCATTTCTAATCTTATGCTTTTTATTTCATTTTGTTTTCATGTTGATCCAGCTACAACCCCATTACAGTGTTGATTAGTGTTGAATACTAGTGATGAGAGTAGGCATTCTTGTTCCTCATATTAGGAGAGGGCACACAGTCTGTCACTATTAAGTCTGATGTTGCTTGTAAGCTTTTTTTTTTTTT